ATCAAAAAGTTTCTAGACTTACTTATACTTGTGGGAAAGAATTTAAATTAAGGGCACAATTTGGTAATTACTTTACCTACTCCCTTGTGAAACATATCAGGCTGATATCTGTAGAATTTGCTGCTGTAATGAGCTTTTAAATCTTGAGTAGGTGATTTTTTTGTAATCTTATCAAATATTGACTCCCATTCTTTTCAGCTGTTGCAATCCACCAACAATTTGCCGTCAAACTCGAAACCTCCACAAATCAAAATGCAGTCCACAAAGAAGGCACCGCTGCGAAAAGAGGACGGCACAACAGCAGCCGGCGATGACGCAGCAACGATAGCACAGACAGCGGGCCCGAACGCGACACAACCGGTGAGACCCAGAAAGATGTTATTTTATAAAATGCTATATGGTGTGGTAAAGACTGTCTTTAGATTTCGTGATTCTGTCCCGTCACTAGCTGTGTTCACATGAACATATTTACTTGTGCATTTTGAAGTATTGCATTAGAATGGAAATGGCAAAATTTACACTCGCTTGGTGGTTTTTGCCTCGAAAAAGAGTTATTGGGATAAATGGGTTATGGAAACGCCTTTGTTGAATAAGTTCCGATGTACAAAACATTTAATGCAGAACTGATGAGCTGTTTCTACTGCGTCCTCCTGTGCGTTAGAATTGTAGCCAAAGTTTATAATAAGCTGCACCTATACTTACAGAGATGGTAAAACAAAAACACAGACACTCCATAGTCTGAACCAGTGTGAACCACGACAGTAGTATAACCTAAATTTAAGAATAAATATCTTACAGAATCATTAATAACCATACTGGTACTAGCTGACATGAAAGAACAAGAACAAGGCAGCTTGTTTTGTTTACAGTTGTCAACAGTTACTTCTTCTACTGTTTAGTGGCGACGGCCATGTGTAAAATGTAGCCTCTACTGCCAACTATGCTTTGTGAAGCCTGGTTTATTTGCTCCAAAGCAGCTGATGGAAATGCATCTAAAGCCCTGTTTCCACCGAGCTGTGAGGTACAGTTCAGTACGCATTTTCTCCGTTTCCACTGTGAAGCGTTGTGGATGGTACCAATGGAACCGTTCCGTACTGTCCCCAGTTTTGGTCCCCCCTCTGTTGGGGTACCTAGCACACAGACCTGGTACTAAAAGGTCTGATAGGTCAACAGCAGACTGTCACTCTGCTCAGGGCAAAACTTAACTCACCGGGCAGACTGCTGGCAACTTTTAAGGTGGATCGTTAACGTGTAATGTTACTCAATGTACGAGTTGATGACGTGAATTCATCAACACACCTTATATTTCAACAACTTTGGGGCTTAATTTGCATTTCTTTTTTGTCGAATTTCAAAAGTTCACATAAAATTCACTTGATGCTTTAATGGAAACACAGTTACTGTGTGCTTACCCTAATGTTGCTGCTCTTTTCTAACTTGTTAACTGCTCTGTCGTCCTCCCTTTTGTTTCTTCTCTTGCCATATCTTACCTACCACTCACTACATCCTGCTTTGATTTTGTCTCACTTCATTCTATACTTTTGTCATGCCACATCACTCCTTCACACTCTTTCTCCCCCCATTGCTTGCGTGGCTGGCCTCCTAAAGGGAGAGGGAGAGGAAGACCCTCAGATAAAGGAGGGCAACAAAGAGAACAAGGTAAAATGGGTAAATAAAAAAAATAAACACAAACCCGAAAAGGAGATTGTGCTTTACTAAGCGAGACGGTTGAATTCATAGCCTGGCGATCTTGATAAATTTTAAGTAAATAATATTTTCTGGTCATGGAGGTGCCTTATCAAGTGTTTTTGTTATCTCCCCCTCGCAGCCAAAGTCTGGGGGAGGTGGAAGGAGAAGGGGTGGCCAGAGGCACAAAGGAAAAGGCCAGAACAGCAGCACCAACTCCACAGCAGCTCCCTCCTCAGCAGGAATAGGAGGCTGCTGAACTGCCCCTCTTGTCCCTTGTGAACCTCCCTCTCTGCTATCACTCCACCAAGTGTCTTCATTCCATTAACCATGAAGGATACAGACGTTCGGAGCAAGACACTCTCCTCAGTCTTATTACTCTTTGCCTTTCTACACCAGGTCCTATAGTTATTATTTTTAAAGGGAACACAAAGGGGTATGCCTGAACCTAAAGGCGTACACCCTTCATGCATTTTAACGTCAGCTGCCTTTACTGTCTTGAATGGTTTGGGTGATGGAGAGCAGTGTGGTTTTTGAGGTTGGCCTCACTCAGGAGGATGATTTATTTAATTTTATCCATATTTTATGTCTGTATAATACACAGTTCAGTCCTCTGGCTGGATGTCAGTGGCAGGGAGGGAGGCTTAAACTGAAAACAAGGGTCCATTACCAATACGAGCAGCTATACGTGAAACTCCCCCTCCCCATGCATTCCCTGTGTATTTGCAATGAAAAACAGTTCATGTACTATTTATACTGCATATGTAAATTAGCTGTTAGTTGTGCTCTGATTGGACTGATGCCATTGTACAAAAATGTATGCAAATCATAAATGAATGTAGCAGAAGGCACATAGTGATTTCAAATTCTACATATGGAAAATATAAGCTGTTGCATTTCTTTTTTATAATTGTCAGTTATTTATTTGGCATACATGCAGAAGGTTCACTCTTGGATGTCTTTTAACCTACTCTCACCTGCACTCTTAGACTCAGTAGTATCTATCATGCTTCCACCGTCAGTCAGCCATGTTACAAACCTTATACAAATAGTGGTAGTACAAACAAATACAGCACATCATCTCGTCACTCCAATAGTTGCTCATGATTATAAAGACATGCAGTACTTGCAGTGCTACTTGTAACTCTAGTACCCCATGCGTTATGGCCTGTCGCTGTTAACATGTTGTGACATTTTGAACACACTTTGCCGCTGAAAAACTGACCATAAATAAACAGGCTTTACTGAACTTTTCAACAGTGTCTCTTTGTCTATGTGTGCATTTTTCTGAAATTATATATTAAACATCTTAAAGGAATACTTCACTGGCATAATGACCATTTGTATATCAGTTTCCATGAGTTACCTTTGGATTGAACGGGACTGTGTTTAACAGCAAAACTATATAAAAACATCCATTTACAAACTCACACAACTCGTGCAGTATAATCCAAGTCTCATTCATCCAGTCATACGCTCAAAGGTTCCCAAACACGTGTTTTCATCAGAAGATTATGATTTAAAACACATCAGTACAGACAGTCTCATGCACAGCCAAGTAGCGTGCTCAGGTATGCTCAGGGCATGCAACTCGTATGTGGGAGTGTTTCAAATTGTGAGGTTTTAGCAGAAATGTATGTCTTTGGGAAGTACTGAGCATATGACTGGATAGATGAGATTTTGATAACACTGCACGAGGTGTACCAGGGTTTGTAAATGAATGTTTTGATATAGTTTTTTCTGTTGTTAAACTTGGTCCCCAATGACTTAGATTCACAAAGAATGCTTTACTTTTTTTGGATTCTCTGTTCAAGGTGGAGGCATGTGTTCACTTCACAAATTGAAATGAACAAGCAAATGTAACTGATACACAAATGGTCATTTTACAGGTGAAATACTTGTAAAAATTATTAAAAAAAAATACTATTCATACTAAATACTATACTATGTATTTGTTAGGAGTGAAGAAAATATCTTAAAATAATTTAACAAGAGAGTGGATGGTTTGTATTTTGTTTAGTGTTCTTTTTCTCCAATATACTGTAACTCATTTAAGCTTAAAGAGTGTTGTTGAGTAGTCTTTGTCTCATCAGTGTCACATTACAGATGCAAAGCAGCAACTATTAACCAGATTGTCTTTGAGTAGACAGCAGAATATACTTGTGTATTTCAATTGTGATTTTTTACAATCATTACAAAGTGATTTACACAGACTACACCAGCTACCATCATGTAAGACCAAGTTGATTGTGTTTCCTGCACACGGGGAAGTTACGGTTAACAATGGAAGTCCAAAAAGATTCTCAGCTGAAATTACAGGACAGTTTGAAGTGTAACACCTGCAAGATCTGTTTAGCTTGGCAGTCATATCCTATACAATGAAATATTTGCCATCAGAAAAGTATATTTTGTGATGCGCAGGAAAATATTTCACAACTTAAATTAGCATATTAACCTTCAAGTCCTCAATGACAGTCTACCATTATCAAGAATGGTCAACAGTTTGAATAAATCAACAGACAAAGCTGTGTTTTCTCATGTATTTGCAGCTTAAAGTCAGAACTAAAGGTCAGTTTGGAAATCAGTTACAGGTCAGAATATGTTGAATCGTTTTAACTCTCCAGGGCACATTTAGTCACAAGCAAAGTGTTTACTTTATATACAAAAACATTACAAATATGTAACATTTATTTACTATAGATTTTTGTAACACAAAAAGTATTTATCTGCGTCATTTACATTATGTCATACAAGTGCAGACTGTTTACTACCAGTGTTTAGGTAGCACACAAAGCCATGGTCTTGTATCACAATTTGAAAAGGCTTTACTCGGCATGTGCAACATCAGTGTTTAATGAAATATCTTGTGGAGTTCATGATATTGAGGTAAGTAGCATTCCTCTCAAAAAATAATTTGTAACTTTACAGCTCCGTTTTCAGGAATGTTCTGTTTTGGTCTTGATATTTGGGAATATACAGGGTAGTGTGGCGTTTAGGACCGTGTTAAACGCCCAGTGTTTGTCGTGGTGATGACCTGTTGCTGTGTTTTACACACACACACACACACAAACACACACACACAGTCGGTGTGAAAGAAACGGACTGTACGTCTCACTACTGCCAGAGCAGTAAGTACTGAAGAAATAATCACTGTTAGGACACACTGAGTGCTCCAGTCCCATGGGTACAGACGACTGTACAGCAGCATATA